CTGGCATCCTGCTTACATTTTTTATTTTGCAGGAGACAGAATGATGCCGGCAAAACCTCATGATCCACCTTTTCATGGGGGCAGAAGGGAAGCAGCAGCTGTGGAACCAGATCAGGTCAGAGGAAGCTGCCTTGTGGGGACAGAGGCCGAGGGATGGAGCAATGTCATGGACTGGTTGGGCACAGAGGAATGGTGGGAGGAAGCAGCCGGGGAACCAGGAAGGGAAGATGTCTTAGAGCCCAAGGAGTGGAGGTGGAGGAAGGATGAGCGGTCAGTGGGAGAAGAGGGAGAAACCTGGGAAGAGGAGGTGTTAGAGGCTGAAGGGGAAACAGGGCTTAGTGAGCTGGGAGACTGTGGAAGAATGCAGTGCAGAATCGGAGGCAGAAGAGGAAGGAGGCGAGTGGGAGGAGGGAGCTCAAGAGTCAGAGGAGGACTCCGGGGACTCCCTCTCCTTCTGCTAGAAGCCACCCTTCCTGCTTGTCTCTCAGAGCCTGGAGACTTCTGACAATGGAGGAGCAAAGGCAGACTGCACACTGGCGCACTGTTCGATCACTTGCCAGAAACCTCAGAGAGGAGGAAGACCCTGTCATGGAATTCTACTCAGTATTGATCCAGGCAGAATTCCAATGTATAGTTAGCAGAGTAAAACCTAAACATGTTGCAGGATTCCCAAAAATAGACCCAGAGGCAAATGTATTTCATCCAGCAGAGCTTTACTGCTACTGAAGGAAAATGAGCATCATGGTCCCAAATCCAAAACATTCAGGATTGGCCCTGTCCATAAGAAATCCAGTTGGAGCAAATTTCCCACAACTTATAATAAGTTTAAACCTCAACACTCAGCATACTATGTACAGAACACCAGAAGGAAGAGAGAGAGAGAGAGAAACCCAGGCTCCTTCTGGCCTCTTCTTATAGTCAGCATGACCTTGACAGAAGACATAACAGAACCACTTTAACCCAGCTGTACTCAGGCTGCAAGGCCTGGGTCCTTGTGCCAAAGGCCAAGCACAGAAAGGGTGGCCCTAGGTCCCAAAAGATGATTTTCTGTGGGTATGAGCCAGGGACCAAGGGGTGGAGATTTGCCTATCCAACAGGCAATCAGTCTAGGATTCTGCTCAGCAGCAGTGCTGAGTTCTGTGAGTAGAATGGATGGACACGCATACATGGGAACCCTGATGTTCTTTCAGAGAGTCTGCAAGACTCTGCTGATGAGGAAGAGGTAGAGGTTGAACCTGCTGCTGAGGCACAGAGTCCTGACCCAGAGCAGGTAGAGGGAAGAACTTCTAAAGCTGTGAAGCTTGAACAGAGAAGTGCTCCTTCCTCACCCACAGGTTCAGCTGAGAAGTCTAAACGGTGCAGTAAGTCAGAGGGGGAGCTCTCTGAGGCCAAGGACGTTCTAGCTTGTCCTAGCGAGTCTGAGGGGGTACCTGAAACTGGGTTGAGATGTTCAGCTCACACAACGAAAGATAAACCTCCTGACAGGTTTGCAGCCACAAGTGTGTGGGTTGGCATGGCACAGTGTGAACCCGAGAGTTTTGAGGATGTTCAGAAACTGCCTCAGGAAGAAGCCAGGAAATGGCATAAGGCAATGCAGAAGGAGATGGGCTCAATGGAGTCTCTAGGTGTGTTCTCCCTCACAACGTTGCCAATGAGCAAACAGGTCGTTAGCAGCCGCTGGGTTTACCGTCTTAAACCCACAGCAACAGGGGAACCACAGTACAAGGCTAGGCCAGTAGCCAGAGGGTTCACACAGCAAAAGGGGCTGCATTATACTGAGGTATATGCTCCTACTTCCAGATGTGAATTTCTGCACATGCTCTTAGCCATTGCTGCACAAAGAGGTTTTCAGGTGTATCACTTGGATGTGGCCTATTTGAACTCAGACCTCCAGGAGGATCTGTACATGCTTCCTCCTTCAGCGTTTGAGGGCAATGAGCCAAATACTGTATGGAGGCTTCACAATTCTATTTATGGCTTGAAGCAATCGGCCAGAAATTGAAACTTGTACCTGAATGAAGCCTTAGAGAAGCTAGGTTTCAAGAAGAGTCTTGCTGACAGCTGCCTGTACCTTAAAGGGTCAGGAGATTCACAGGAAATGGTTTTAGTCTTTGTTGATGATATCATTTACACCTCAAGGGCAGACAAACAGGTGCAGAAGTTTGCCAAAGAGCTTGGAACACGGTTTCAGCTCAAGAACCTGGGTGCAGTAAGGATCTACTTAGGTGTTCAGATAGGACTGAAGATGGAAGCTTCTTGCTCAGTCAGAAAGGCAAGATTGAGCACTTGCTTGAGAAGTTCAGAATGTCTGATTGTGCAGGGGTTAGGGCACCCATGGAGACAAGCTATGTGAAAGACAGTCAGGTAGCAGAACGCCTTGAGTGCGAGAACGCTGAAGTCTTCCAGTCCGCTCTGTGTAGTCTATTGTATCTGTCCCAATGGAGCAGGCCGGACATTGCTTTTGCTACCAATCTGCTCAGTAGGGAAGCATCAAAGCCCAGTGTAAATGCCTGGCGTGGTATCAAGCGGCTGCTGTGTTACCTGCAGGATACCAAGGACTTCAGTCTCAAGCTGTAAGCTGCAGGTGAGACGGCGCTTACTTGCTACGCAGATAGTGACGAGGTGAATCTGGATGACAGGAAGTCCGTATCTGGGATAGTAATAAACCTTGGGGAATCTCTAGTTGGGTGGAAGTCCCGGAAGCAAAGTCTCATTGCGCTGTCCTCTACTGAGGCTGAGTTCATTGCACTGTCGGAATTGTGCAGGGAACTGGAGTTCTATAGATGCCTGGTGCAAGAGATCTATGGGGATTGTTGCCTGCCCATCACTGTTTGGGAAGACAATCAACCCTGTCTGAAGTTGGCAGAATCTGGGCAGTTGAAGGCCAGAACCAAGCATATAGACATACGTTTCCAGAATGCGTGTCAAAGTGTCAATCCTATTGAAAGCAATCCTATTGAAACAACACAGCAATTAAAAGGAATGAAAGAACAGAGCATTGTGTAGCAGATCATATTTCTGCTGTCTCAGAAGAGGACATTTCCTTTTTCTTTTAGGGCCCAGTGTGCTTTGAAGATGTCGCTGTTTGTTTCACGGACAAGGAGTGGGCGTTGCTGGATCCTGACCAGAGAGCTCTGCATAAGGACGTCATGGAGGAGAATCGTGGGATCGTGGCCTCTCTTGGTAAGGCTCCCTGTGGGATCGTCCTATCTGCCTGGAAATTAAAAAAATACCTCTATGTAACAAACCTCATACATTTCCACATAGCTCAACAGCGCCCAATACAACACCTGGGAACCTAACACTCCCACAATAAACCTTGAACAGCAAATTCCAGTTTTTCTGTGAACCGTCTTCCTCCAGTTCTGCCTTTTTATACCATGGTTGGGCTTGTCTGAACTGCCCAGGCATCTTAAATGTCAGCTTCAGTGTTAATATCTGAAGAAGTGTGCATGCACACGAAAGCTCATACTAATAACAAACTCAGTTGGTATCTAAGGTGCTACTGGAAGGAATTTTTTTTAGTTAACTTCAGAGTTGTGCAGAAAGATAAGTAGCTTCTGTCAAGTTTTATGTTTTTGTTTATGCTGCTGTCAGTCTTGGGTTGACCAGAGAGACGACTGACATTGGAGATGGAGGGAATGCCATGATTGGGCCAAACAAAATCCATCCCAGAGAAGAGCCAGGCTTATTGAATCTCAGGTAGTAGTAGCAGTGATGATGATGATGATGATGATAATAATAATAATAATAATAATAATAATAATAATAATAATAATTTTTACTCTGCCCATCTGGCTGGGTTGCCCCAGCTGCTCTGGGCAGCTTCCAACACTTATATAAACCAGAAACATTAATCATAACAATCTGTCCCCATATAAAAAGTACATTAACTTTAAAATGAACAACTTACACTAGTGGCCAAAATTGTGGAAACCCTTTGGAGAAAGTGTATTTCAGAGCTTGGATACCTCATGACACCACTTTTTGGGGGAGTGCTAGCATAAAACTATATATCAATGGAAAGATAATTTAATGAAGAATGTAATGATTTTCTTCTGTCATGCAGGCACAGTCTCTCCGTTCTTCAATTGCTGTTGTGCACCTTTTCCTGCTTTACCAGTCTGATTTTGGAGTGACTGAGTCTCTTAACCAGCTTTGGTTAAGTTTTCCCCAATCTTCCTTCTAATTTCTTCATACCTGTAGCCTTGTTCACTTAATAGTACAATTTTACATCTCTTTCTGAGTAACTACCAACCAAATTGGTAGCAATCACATAATACACTGACAAAAGTCAACCTAAGCAAGTTGTGCTTCCCTTTTCTGGTCATATGTCTATAACCTTTGATAGAATACAGATAATTGAACAAATTTGTTGCACTACATTCTTGGTTAAATTATTTTCCCATTGCTATATAATATTACGGTATTACAGTCATACCTCTGGTTACAGTCACTTTAGGTTGCGTGTTTTCGGGTTGTGCACTGAGACGAACCTGAAAGTACCGGAATGGTTTACTTTCAGGTTTCAGTGCTCGCACATGCGCAGAACAACCAAATTATGACCCATGCATGCGCAGATGCAACACTGCAGGTTGCGAACGCTGCGGATTGCGAACATGTCTCCCACACGGATCATGTTTGCAACCCGAGCATCCATTGTACTCCAAAAGAAGTGGTGTTATGAGCCATCAAACATCTGAAATGCACTTTTTTCTAAAAGGCTTTTACAATTTTACCACTACAGTATATCAAAGAAAGCAACATTCATCAATCCATCAGAATCTAATAATAAATATGTTGGTTAATGACAAACCACAAAGGTAATGAACACACACCCAACTTCCTTCAGTTCTTCTTCATTTGTTCCTGAGGCTCTAATCCCTTTTTGTCTCCATTGCAGATTGTGATGAATTGCAGATCGAGAACAAGGCTGAACAAGACAAAATCCCCAGAGAGGAGAAGCCATGCAAAAATTTGGAGTATGGGGAGAGCTGCAGTCAGTGTGTGGAATGTGGAAAGAGCTTCAGGGAGAGCTCCAGTCTCACTTCCCATCAGAGAATTCATACAGGGGAGAAACCCTATCAGTGTGGGGAATGTGGAAAGAGCTTCAGTATGAGCTCCAGTCTCACTTCCCATCAGAGAATTCATACAGGGGAGAAACCCTATCAGTGTGGGGAATGTGAAAAGAGCTTCAGTCAAAGCTCCAGTCTCACTTCCCATCAGAGAATTCATACAGGGGAGAAACCCTATCAGTGTGGGGAATGTGGAAAGAGATTCAGGAAGAGCTCCCATCTCACTTCCCATCAGAGAATTCATACAGGGGAGAAATCCTATCAGTGTGTGGAATGTGGAAAGAGATTTAGGAAGAGCTCCCATCTCACTTACCATCAGAGAATTCATACAGGAGAGAAACCCTATCAGTGCGTGGAATGTGGAAAGCGTTTCAGTCACTGTTCCAATCTCACTTCCCATCAAAGAATTCATACAGGGGAGAAACCCTATCAGTGTGTGGAATGTGGAAAGAACTTCAGTCACAGCTCTGCTGTCACTAAGCATCAGAGAATTCATACAGGAGAGAAATCCTATCAGTGTGGGGAATGTGGAAAGAGCTTCAGTAGAAGCTCCCATCTCACTTCCCATCAGAGAATTCATACAGGAGAGAAACCCTATCAGTGTGTGGAATGTGGAAAGAACTTCAGTCACAGCTCTGCTGTCACTAAGCATCAGAGAATTCATACAGGGGAGAAACCCTATCAGTGTGGGGAATGTGGAAAGAGCTTCAGTCAGAGCTCCCATCTCACTTCTCATCAAAGAATTCATACAGCGCAGAAACCCTTCATTCTATAGCTTTAGGAGCCAGGCAAATCCGCACTTTGTTAACCAGGCCTTTGGCTGATTGAAATCTAAGGCCCTTTTAAAATGTGGTGGGGAGTTGAGTTCCTGATGTGTATTTTGTGTTTTTATGTTGTGTTTTTATGTTGTAATCGTCCTGAGCCAGTGTGGTGTAGTGGTTAAGAGCGGTAGTCTCGTAATCTGGGGAACCGGGTTCGCGTCTCCGCTCCTCCACCTACAGCTGCTGGGTGACCTTGGGCCAGTCACACTTCTCTGAAGTCTCTCAGCCCCACTCACCTCACAGAGTGTTTGTTGTGGGGGAGGAAGGGAAAGGAGAATGTTAGCCGCTTTGAGACTTCTTAAAGGGAGTGAAAGGCGGGATATCAAATCCAAACTCCTCTTCTTCTTCTTCTTCTTCTTCTTCTTCTTCTTCTTCTTCCTCTTCTTCTTCTTCTTCTTCGACATGTGGGAACAGAAGTCAACACCTAGAGGCCGAAGGGTTTTTGCCCCCAATGATATATTTTAGGGGGCCGCCACCCCAGTTGATAGGCATTGCCATTCCAATGGCCTGCATGCATCATGTGATTGATTGTGCAAGGCGGGCCTTACCTGGCCCCTCCCACCAATATTTTATTCAAGTCAGCACCATTGGGTTGGGTAGTATACAAATTAAATGAATACATTAATCGCCTTCCTTTGCACATGTTCCAGCTTGTCAATATCCTTATTCATTATCATTTTTAATATTTATGTGCCCTCCAATTGAAGATTTCACAACATAAACATACAAAATGAAAGCATGGCTTTCCCAAAAACAAGAAAAGCTAGAGAAATCTCTCCTCCCCTTTTTTTGGATGGAGTTACAAACTTTGTTGATCAGGGAACAGCTGTGGAAATAGTGCATCATGATTTCAGTAAGGCTTGGACGAAGTCCCCCATAATATTTTTGCCTTTAAGCTTCTAAAATGTGGGCTGAATGAGTAACTGAACCCAAACAGTCCTCCTCCATGGTTCTCATCCTGGGGAAAAGTGACAAGAGGGGTGCTGCAGGGTTCTGTCCTGGGCCCGTTGTTGTTCAACCTCTTTATGAACGACTTGGACTGAGGGGGTGCTCATCCCATTTGTGGAGGACACCAAACGGGGAGTGGAGGCCAATGTGGCAGAAGGCAGAATGAAGCAACCAGAAATCACCTCAACCCAATGGACTGGTGACCCCCTCCTCCTTTTCCTCTCCCCCCAAGCCATCAATACAGCTAACACAATCAATATTCCCCCCAACCTCACACCTCCACAGAGATCCCCACCCAACACCAGTCCAGGTGACATAAAAAGACACTCCCCATTACCCAACAATCTACAACTCGCTCTCAGCACCCCTCCCCATGCCTTACTAAGTAAAATAATTCCCCTTGTTGCAAGGATTTTTAAGGTACCAGTGAGCCACTCAAATTGTGTCCCAGAATTGACAGACGCAGCAGTGGAGAAAAAGAAAGTGATATTTATTGCTGAGCAATAAGTGACCCAGTGGAATCCTTTCCCAAAGACTGGGCCCCGGGCTCCAGCGCCCTGAGGCTTTATACCTGAGTACATACATGACATAATCGGATACAATTGCACACGGCAGCAAAAAGAAAACCAATGAGCGCATTCAAGCCTTGCCCCCTGATCATGTAAAGAGTTCCCTCCCAACTTCTGTTTTTTCAGTCTGAGCATGCATTTAACCTTTCCCCTGATTTATGGTAAGGAGGAAGAAAAAAGGAACTTCGGCCCTTACGCTCCTACATTCTGCGGTGAGCATCTTCCTGTTTGAGCTACTCGGGACCCTGTCTGGACAGGGGGGAAAGTGCCAGCACAGCAGATTTATTGCTTCCCCCTTATGTTAGCGAGACATTGAGAAGAACAAGGGAAGCGAACTGGGGCAGAGTTCATTTCGGATTCTTCCGATCTAAGCAATTTGCTATAAGCTTTTGCAGAAGCCGTCATGATTCAAACATGGATTATATAAAAATCATTATAAGGATATATGGTTATATGGCTAACTGATTATATGAAAAGCATAAGGGTAAAATTCCTCCAGGTGGTCCTGCTTCACCCTAACCTCAATAAAACAATCCACAAACAGGCTGAAATCTGACAAACAAGCAGCACATTGGGGCTGCCAGAGCATATCAACACCCTCATCTCTACCCCAACATACCAGTGATGTTAATAACATTAGCAACATTCCTTATGGACCCTATATCCAACATAGGTGTCACAAAGACGGTTGGAGGATGGATGGCGGCCAACAGATTGAGGTTGAATCCTGACAAGACAGAAGTACTGTTTTGGGGGGACAGGAGGAGGGTGGGTGTGGAGGACTCCCTGGTCCTGAATGTGGTAACTGTGGCCCTGAGAGAGCCAGTGTGGTGTACTGGTTCAGAGCGATAGACTCGTAATCTTGGGAACCGGGTTCGCATCTCCGCTCCTCCACATGCAGCTGCTGGGTGACCTTGGGCCAGTCACACTTCTTTGAAGTCTCTCAGCCCCACTCACCTCACAGAGTGTTTGTTGTGGGGGAGGAAGGGAAAGGAGAATGTTAGCCGCTTTGAGACTCATGAAAGGGGAGTGAAAGGCGGGATATCAAATCCAAACTCTTCTTCTTCTTCTTCTGAAGGACCAGGTCGCAGCCTGGTAGTCATTTTGGACTCTCAGCTGTCCATGGAGGCACAGGTCAATTCTGTGTCCAGGGCAGCTGTTTACCAGCTCCATCTAGTACGCAGGCTGAGACCCTACCTGCCCACGGACTGTCTCGCCAGAGTGGTGCATGCTCTGGCTATCTCCTGCTTGGACTACTGCAATGCGCTCTACGTGGGGCTATCTTTGAAGGTGACCTGGAAAATGCAACTAATCCAGAATGCGGCAGCTAGACTGGTAACTGGGAGCGGCTGCTGGGACCACATAACACCAGTCTTGAAAGACCTACATTGGCTCCCAGTGCGTTTCAGAGCACAATTCAAAGTGTTGGTGCTGACCTTTAATGCTCTAAACGGCCTTAGTCTAGTATATCCGAAGGAGCGTCTCCACCCCCGTTGTTCTGCCTGGACACTGAGATCCAGCTCCGAGGGCCTTCTGGCATTCCCTCACTGCGAGAAGCCCAGTTACAGGGAACCAGGCAGAGGGCCTTCTCGGTAGTGGCGCCCGCCCTGTGGAACGCCCTCCCACCAAATGTCAAAGAGAAGAACAACTACCAGACTTTTAGAAGACATCTGAAGGCAGCCCTGTTTAGCGAAGCTTTTAATGTTTGATGCATTATGATATTTTAATATTTTGTTGGAAGCCACCCAAAGTGGCTGGGGAAGCCCAGCCAGATGGGCGGGGTATAAATAAATAATTATTATTATTATTATTATTATTATTATTATTATTACACTTAACACCGTTTCACTGACCACTTCCTATTGCAAACAACAGGGAGGATGGCCTGACCTTGAACAAAGAACTCCATGCCAGCTGAGACCTAGGACCAACTGGCTAAATGCTAGATGGCCCATGATACCCCAAATAAACACCTATATGACTACATAGGGGATACTTTCTGCAACCCACCCCCCACTCTTTAACCCAAATCTTATTTTAACCTCTAGGTCAGCGCAATTTCACTGGCTTGATAGACAATACAAGGTGAGAGACACAGGGCAACCCGAACGGGCTGGCATGGAATCGCCCTATATAGTAGATAAGCAAGATGGCTAGCTTAAAAGCAATTACATTAAATGTGAGCGGGTTGGGAAACCCCATCAAAAGCAAATGCATCACCTTGTATGTACACACCATGCAACCACACATCACCTTCCTACAATAAATACACAACCCACCCAAACTCCTGAGCGATCCCTGCTTCAGTCAACAATGAGTTGCACCTGGCTCAGCGAAGTCCTGTGGAGTAGCCATAATACTCAGTAGAGACCTGAACTTCAAAGCCACAACAGTCCTCAAGGCAAAAGAGGCAGACTCATTTTTGCTAAAGGGACACTAGATGGCAAAACTAAACTGACAATTGGCTCCATATATGCCCCAAACTTGAAACAGCTAGAGTTCATCCAAAAAACATTAAACAAGTTCCTCTCCTCCGAAGGGGAAGCAGTTCCGGGGGGGGGGGGGGTGACCTCAACCTAAATATGAAAAGCATATCCATGAAAGACACCCACCCTACAACCCCCTGGGCAACCTTCCTCCGAAGGAAACCCCCAACAATTAGGGACTCTTAGAAGTTGCTAAAAAACGGGTCTGACATTTGGGGTGAAGAAAACCCAGGAGACACCAGCCACACATTCTTGTCTGGGCGCCATGGAACAGTGTCCACCTGGACAGCATTCTGCTCACACAAGGTCTGATCCCCTCAGTAGAATCAATGAACATAGGTAACATTAAAATCACAGATCACGCCCCAGTAGAAGTTACCCTCAAAACAGGAGGGGGGACACAAGCCACCCCATCATGGTCCTTCAGTCCCATCCTAACCACAAATAAACAGAGTCTCACAGAAACTCTCCCAAACTACTTCAAGGAAAACAATGTAGGCAAAAACAACCCCCCTCCTATGGGATGCAATGAAAGTGGTCACCAGAGGAGCTTGCATAAAAGAGAAAGCATCTCTTAAAAAACAAACCTCCTTAAAAGTTAGCAAGACAGAACAAGACATCATGGCCTCTCATCATGCTACAAACAGGATCTAAAAAAATTCTTAAAGCTATAGAACAAAAACAGAGAGAACTAGATTCCCTAGAAATCAACAAAACAATGATCAACATTCCATACTCTAAACAACGCTTCTGTGAGTAAGGAGGGGAAAGCTCCAGATTATTAGCAAACAGGTGTAGGAAAAAAGCACTCAGAACAAGAATACATTGCAACACCAAAAAGGACGGCAACATAACATTCCCCCCCAAAGAAATAACCTCAGAATTTGCAGAATTGTACTCCAACCTATACACCTCCCATAACTGATGAGGAACAGGAATTCA